GCTTCGCCTCGAAGGGGGCGTTTCGTGTGCTTTTCGCAGGCTCGGTAGCGAGCTTGTCTCCATGTTCATGCAACGTCGCTGTTCTGTTGAAGTTGCGCTGCTTCAATTCCGTACGTGGAATGTAAAATCCCTCAACGTGCGCACTCCGTACTTCTCTTCACCTTTCTCCTTTCCCCCCTCATCCTCCTCATGCTACTTTCCCTCATCACCCTCATGTTCCTGAGGTTGCCGATGGCCTCTCTTCCCCCCAATGGAGTGGTGGTGGAAACGCCCCCGACAAGGAATGGCCCCGCCTCCCCGCTCAAGCGGGGCCCCCCGACGAAGAATCGATTTGCCCTCCCCCGCCCCTCCCGCCCCCGAATCGGTAACCTCCGGAGGTTACCGATTTCCCCTCCCGCCCCCCTCCCCCCCGAATCGGTTACCTCCGGAGGTTACCGATCTCCCGCCCCCCAGGGGGATGCAGAGGAACACGTTTCCAGGGAAACAATTCCAAGGGAAGAAACAACTCCAGAACCACAGGGGAGAACGGCTTCAAAACCCTGCTCCAGGAGAAGCAGCGGGAACCTCCGCAGGTTACCGATCCCCCTCCCCCTGGGAGGAAGGGAGGAGCCAATTCGGTGGAATCGGGAGGCCCGAATCAGCAACCTCCGGAGGTTACCGACCCAACCTCCGGATTCCACCCGCTACGTCAAAATCGGTCCCCAGACCCCTCCCAGGGGCCAAACGCAGAAGTTGTCCGAGCTGCGTCCAGCCATGCCGACAAGCCCCCCGAACCCGAAAGCCAACTACCGTTGTCTCAACTCGCCTTCCTCTGACCATTAACAGCTCCCCCTGCTGCCAGGCCGCTCCTTCATCACGCCCTCGGCCTTCTTCATCTCGCCCATCGAGCAGAAACCCTTGGCCAGCCTCGTGAACGTCCGCACCGAGGGGGCGATGCCTGCCATGACCCCGCGCGGCAGGAGGAGAAGGACGAGGAGGAGGAGGAGGAAGAGGAGGAGGAGGAAGAGGAGGACAAGGAGGAGGAGGAGGAAGAAGAGGAGGAAGAGAAGGAGGAGGAGGAGGAGGAGGAGGAGGAAGAGGAGGAGGAAGAGGAGGAGGAGGAGGAGGAAGGAGGAGGAGGAGGGGAGGACAGAGGAGGAGGAGGAGGAGGGGGAGGAGGAGGAGGAGGAGGAGGAGGAGGAGGAAAAAGAAGACGAGGACGAGGACGAAGACGAGGAGGAGGTGGAGGACGAGGAGGAGGAGGTGGAGGAGGAAGGGGAGAAGGAGGAGGAGGAGGAGGAGGAGGAGGAGGAGGAGGAGGAGCAGGAGCAGGAGCAGGAGGAAGAGGAGGACGAGGAGGACGAGGAGGAAAAGGAGGAGGAGGCGGATTTTTGTGACATCTGCGGTCACAGACCCCACCCGAATGGGGCAAAAGCACAAAAAGGCTTGACTGAGACCCCTTTTCCTCTTCGGGTGGAGGCCTTTGCCAAGCCTTGTCCGACTCTCTCGCTCTTGCGCGGGTGCGCGAGCAGCTTGCGCTGAGCAGCGCCGCGAGCCGCGCACCCGAGGCGAAAGCTCCACAAAGCCGACGCACGCACGCAGACGAACCGCCTCTGCAGCCCAGCACAACGCAGCTGTGTCCAGGATCCCGCAAGGATTGCGGGCGGACACGAAGGTGCCTGGTGCGCCTGCCGCGTTGGCGCCGTCACAGGCCTCCCGGGCTCCGGAGCGCCCTCCGCGACCCCCCCGGGTGCACGGTTCCCCCCGGGGCCGTAGGCGACCCGAGGAGGAGGAGGAGCAGGAGGAGCAGGAGGAGGAGGAGGAGGAGGAGGAGGAGGAGGAGGAGGAGGAGGAGAGGAGGAGCAGGAGGTGGAGGAGGAGTAGGAGGACAGGAAGGGAGGAGGAGGAGGAGGAGGAGGAGGGGGAGGGGGAGGGGGAGGGGGAGGCCGCTGGGCGTTTTCAGACCTAGCAAGAGCCTCGCAAACATTGGGGACATTGCCAGAACGTGCGAGGCGGCCTGCCGACCGGCGCCCACTCGCGGGGCGTCGGTGGTGCGCCTGTCTCCCGAAGGTTCGTGACCAGCTGGGATCCATCCGGACAGGCGCGAAGCCTTAGAGGCAAGATCCGCCGACCCTCTGGTGCCACGGCGTGTGAGATGCTTCCCCCTCCCCAAACTCCTATCCCGGGAGCCCGGTCCGGCCGGTTTGGAGGACAAAGGGGGGGCGGCAAAGGTGCCAACCGCGCCCTGGGAGCCTCAGGGGGCCCCAAAACGGACCAAGAGGGCCCTAAAAGGCCCCCGGACGGTCCAAGTGGGCTACGAGGCGCCGAAAGATCGCTCCAAGACGCCCAAGATCACCTCCAGACGATCCCAGAGGCCCCCAAGACGCCCCAAGAAGCCACCACGAAGCGTCCCCAGAGGCCCTCCAGAAGCAAAAGCCGTTTCATTCCCGAGGGAAAACGTATATGTTTAGCACATTCGCCTCTTGGGCGTTCACGAGGCCCCAGGACGTCCCCAAGAGGAGGCCCTGAGGGGGAACCCGAATGAACATGTCGAGCACTCGGCCCCGACAAAACCTGAGGAGGCGCCAATCAGCCTTATGCAGAGTGGCAAGCAGCTCGCCGTCATCCGAGATTTCGGCAGTTCCCCAACCAGCCCTCCAGAGCTCTTTGGTGAGGGGCTTCCTACAAGAGCCATCCAGGAACACGTCCCCCGCCAGAACGCGCCTCTCCACCGAGAGCACGGCGAAGTCTGCAGATATGCCCCCCCCCCTGAGAGGCTGGTCTTCACCGTCAAAAACTTTAAACGCTCGCGCGGAGAAGGTTATACCCTGTCCGAAGAGGCTGGGTCACCAGTCGCCAGGATGAGGAGAGAAACCGGACTCAAGCTGCAACTCGCCCAGATCTGGTTAATCGTCTCGCCTGGCGCGCACCAGCTGTTTTCTCGGCGCCACTTCGCTTATCTCAGCTTCGGCAGCCCTGCAAAACCCATCGACGCAACGTTGCGTCTCATGGCTGACCGCGCGCTGGGCAGATGTCGCCCACTTGCTAACCGGCCTCCGCAGCGTCGGAGAAGGGCCAGACCCCCCAGCGAGCAACCGCGCGCATGCAACCCCTGCCCAAGGCAGAACACCTGCTGGGCGCCAGAACCGCCAGAACGACGCCGAAGCAGAACCTGGATCCCGCCGCAAACTTGCGCTCCACCCCCCTCCGAGATCCTGCAATCAGATGCCCGAATCACCCGTTTGAATAGGGGGGGGGGGCGGCGGGGGGCGGGGCGGGGGGGCGAAAGAATCGCGGGCCCCAAGGCCGCGCCCCACCCCGGGGAAACAAAAAAAACACCCACCCCAGACGGGCCAGAGGCAATCGCACGAACCCCCGGGGGGCCCATGACTGCCTCCAACTACGGCGAGGGCCCTCGAAGGCCTTCGCCCAGGAGCCCCACAGGAACGCCGAATGGAACGCGCGGGGCGCGGCGGGCGCGCGCCCGGGCCACAGCTCAAACGCGCAGATAAGGCCGCGGCGCCGCGCCAGGTCGGACTGCCTTCGAGCCGCGACAGGGAGCAGCGCGAACGCTCGCCAGCGGATGGCTTCAAAGTGGAGCCCGCCATCCGCTCAACGCGAAGCAGCTCGCCATCGGACGTGCCGCTGACCTCCTGGCCATGTTGCGCTCGCGACAGAAACAGATTGGCCCCGCTGCCCAAGATGGCCTCGCGCCCTTTGAGCACAGCTGTTGGAGGCCTGGGAATGGGCACCAACGCCGACGCAAGGGGGTTGCCTCCACAGGGGGAAGGTGACCCCAGACTTCGGCGGTGGCAAAATATGTCGGTCACCTTGGGAACCAGGATATCACCGCCATCACCGAGATCGGGATCTTCTTCCCTCGACGAATGCACACTGCCGATGTTGGCGTTGGTGTCAATCTCTAGGGCTGCGAAGCTGTCTGTCCGACGAGAGGCCTCGGCGGCGCTGGTTCTAGCCGCCCGACCCCCACCGCGAACCCTTCGGAACTGACCCGCAGCGCCGCCCGCCCCCAAGTCCACCGCGGACCCTCGAGGAGGGCCCACGCAGGGCCCGAAGTGCTCTTGCGGTCCAGAAGCCACCAACTTGGACAACGAGACCATGGCAATCGCGTCACTCGAGAGGTCGGCCACCATCGTCTTGCCAAGCCCCCGATGCAACCGATCGCCCGCCTCGGCGACGCCGTGGGCCACTTGATCGGGTGCCCCATGCAGCCTCGGGCCCCGCGTCGTCCATGTACACCTCTAGAGGCACGCGCTGCGGGATTCTCGCAGAATCGAACGCGTCCAAGCCAAGAGCCCTGGTCATCGCGGCGGGAACTGCAGTCAGCCACGATGCCGTTGGCAGCAACAGAAATTGGGAACGACCGCGCTCGCGAGCATCGTGCATCTCGCAGATGCGTAGGCAGCTAGGCAGACAGAACTGGCGGTGGCGCTGATAGCGCGCTGCCAGCAACGATAGAACAAGACAGCCAGCGGGATCTTCTCGCAATACTTGAGCACGCCCCAAAGGGTGTGGGTTGCCGCTTCGCCACTGTGAACTCCAGCCTCCGAGCGAGAGCTTTGCCTCCAGACCGCGCCCAGCGTCCACTTGGAATCCGCGGGCCGATGGGGGTGGGGCGACGCCCCCATCTGCAAAGCAACTGAGCTCACTGCCGCGGCCAAGCCCGCGGAGAGCACGGACCAAAACATAGCGCTCTCCGTTGGCGCGGAGCGTGCTAGATCACCGGTGAGTTCGCTGATCGAGATCGCCCAGGCCTTCAGGATCAGGGAAAATCAAATTTGATCAACTCCGATGGTATCTTATTGAAGCCCAAGAATAAACAATAACGGCATGCCCGAGACAGGTACCCGAGGCCCTCGATCCCAACGATCCGAATAGGCCCAAATCCCATTCAGGCAGCCCCTCGCAACCGCGAAAGCACAGCGCGCCAGCCAAGCGCCGATGGCCGCAAGGCGGGCGCACCACAGAGGCGAGGAAACGAGGGCCCAAGGGTGCCAAATTCCCCATATCCTAAAATTGGGTTCTTGTTATTACTTGGACGCCTCCTACTCCCTCTCCTTCTTCCTCCTCCTCTTTCCTCCTCCCCTCCTGTCGGACTTACTCATACTCAGACTTGCTCATACTCAGACTTACTCATACACAGAATTACTCATACTCAGACTTACTCATACTCAGACCTACTCATACTCAGACTTACTCACACTCAGACATACTCATACACAGACGTACTCATACACAGACTTACTCATACCCAGACGTACTCATACACAGACAAAACTCATAACACAGACTTACTCATTCCACCCAACTACTCATACCCAGACTCACCATAAACCCAGACTTACTCATCACACAGACGCTTGGAGAGCAGATTGTGAGAGCCAGCGGGGGGCGCTGGTTTCAGCACCCCTAAGGGGAGCCGCCAGGGGTGGTTGCACGGGCTCGTTCGCGGGTCCATTTTGTGGGATGTCTCCACGCGGGTTGCGTTGTTGTTGTCTTGTTTCTGGGCCAAACCTCCTTCGCTTGGAGAGCAGATTGTGAGGATGTCCAAGGCGGGCGCTGGTTTCAGCACCCCTAAGGGGAGCCGCCAGGGGTGGTTGCACGGGCTCGTTCGCGGCCATTTTGTGGGGATGTCTCAAGCGGTTTGCTTGTTTCTGGGCTCAATATCCTTCGCTTGGAGAGCAGATTGTGAGGATGTCTCAGGCGGGGCGCTGGTTTCAGCACCCCTGAGGGGAGCCGCCAGGAGTGGTTGCATGGGCTCGTTCGCGGCCATTGTGGGGATGCCTCAGGCGGTTTGCCTGTTTCCGGGCTCAACATCCTTCGCTTGGAGAGCAGATTGTGAGGATGTCTCAGGCGGGGCGCTGGTTTCAGCACCCCTAAGGGGAGCCGCCAGGGGTGGTTGCACGGGGGAAAAATTCTTTTTCCCGGCAAACTCGA